CCCACCTGCCCTGGCCCCTGGGGGGGGGGGCATTTCCTCGCTTCGTTAACGGAGGGGCTCATTACCCGATGCTAATTTGGGCTCGGTCTCCTCAATGGAAGGAAGTCCCACCTACCCACCCCCCCCCAATCCCAAGAGCTGCAGAGGATTGTGGGTAATTCAGAGGGCACGAGCAGCTGTGGGTGATTTGGCCCCAGTGCGGCCGACTGGGGGTAACTGGGCAAGGAGAGGGAGAGAAAAGCGCTGGGGAAGTGTCCCAGGGAAACACAGGGAAGTACTGGGAGGCACTGGGAAGGACTGGGAGGCCCTGGGAATTACAGGAAAGATGGGAAGGCCGCCAAGAGGCACTGGGAATTACTGGAAGGGCACTGGGAGGTACCAGGAAGGACTGGAAGGCACTGGGAAGGACCAGGAGGACACTGGGAGGCACTGGGAGACACCACGAAGGACACGTGGAGGCACTGGGAATTTCAGGAAGAGCACTGGAAAGGACTGGGAGGCACTAGAAAGGACAGAAAAGGCACTGGGAGGCCCTAAGAGGCTCTGGGATGAACTGGGAGGCACTGGGAAGCTTCAAGGGAGCACAGAAGCACACTGGGAGGCACAGGAAGGTATTAGGACACATTGGCATGCACTGGGAGGCACTGGGATATACTGGGGCATGCTAGGAGGTACTGGGAAGCACAAGGTTGACTGGGAGGCACTGGGATGCATGAAGACGTGCTGGGACGTGCTGGGAGACGCCCCTAGGGAGTACGTGTCTGCACTGGGAGGCACTGGGAGGTACTGCAGGAGCTCAGGGACACACTGGATTGCACTGAGATGTACTAGGACATACTGGGAGGCCCTGTGGGAGCACTGGGATGCACTGGGAGCCACTGGGATACTTGAGGAGGCACCAGGAGGACACTGGGAGGGACTGGATCACACTGGGCAGCACTGGCATGCACTAGTATGTGCTGGGATATTCCAGAGGACACTGAGAGGCACTGGGTTGCACTGGGAGGCACTGGGATGTACTGGGATGCTCTGGAAGGCAGTGGGACACACTGGGATGTATTGGGATGCCCAGAAGAGACTGAGACATGCTGAAAAGCACTGGGATGGCATAGGAGGACACTGGGTCACACTGGGAGGCACCTGGCAGCACTAGGAGGCACTGGGAGGCACTGGGTGGAACTGGGAGGCTTCAGAAGGCACTGAAAGGCACTGGGAGGCCTGGGAGAGGTCCCACAAGGCCTCATGATTCCCCAGGAGGCCCCTCAAGGCCCTGGGAGGCTCCACAAGGTCAGAGGAGACACTGGGCAGCACTGGGAAGCCCTAGGAGGCCCCACAAGGACCCACGACACTCCAGGGAGGTCTCAGGAGGCTCCATGGGGCTCCTTGACAACCCCAGGAGGCCTCAAAAGGCCCCGGGAAGCTTCATGACACCCGGGGAGGCCCAGAAGGCTCCACAACACCCAGAGAGGTCCTGGGATGGTCCACGGCACTCCAGAGAAGCCCTGGGAGGCTTTCCAGAAGGCCCTGGTGAGGCCCTAAGACACCCCTGGAGGCCCTAGCGAGGCCCCAGGAAGCTCCATGACATCGCAGGGAGGCCCCATGACACCCTGGGAGGCCCCAGCGAGGCTCCAGGAGGCTCTACGACACCCCAGGAAAGCTCCACAACACCCAGGGAGGCCCCAGTGAGGCTCCAGGAGGCTCCGTAACATCCCAGTGAGGCCTCAGGAGGCTCCATGGCACCCTGATGAGGCTCCAGGAGGCTCCATGACACCCCAGGGAGGCCCCAGGAGGCTCCATAACATCCCAGAAGGCTCCAGGAGGCTCCATGACACCTTGATAAGGCTCCATGACACCTCAGGGAGGCCCCATGACACCCCCTGAGGCCTCAGTGAGACCTCAGGAGGCTCCACAACACCCCAGAGAGTCTCCAGGAGGCCCCACATCCCCCCGGTGAGGCCCCGGTGAGACCCCAGGAGGCTCCATAACATCCCAGTGAGGCCCCAGGAGGCTCCACGACAGCCGGGCTGGCACGGGCCCACATCGCCCCAGGCCGGGGTGTGCCGGGGAGGGCGTGTGACCGCTCCGACAGGCCTCAGCTCCGGTCCCGCGGGAGGCCCTGGGCCCCGGCCCAGGCGGGGCCGGCGAAGGGATTTAAGGGGCTGGGCCCCACTCCTCGGCACCCTCCTCTTCCTCCCCGGCCTTGCCCGCCATGGAGCGCCTCCTGCCTTGAATGAAGAGGGGCTGAGAGGTACTGGGGGTGGACTGGGAGGCCCTGGAAGACCCTGAGGGGGTGCTGGAAGGGAGCTGGAGGTGAACTGAGGACACTGGAAGGCACTGGGAGTGTACTGGTAAGGGTAGGATTGAATAAGGAGGCCCTGTGGGGCAGCTGGAGGGGACTGGAGGTGAACTGGGAGGCACGAGGAGACCCTGAGAGGGCACTGGGAGGGAGCTGGAGGTGAACTGAGGACACTGGGATGCACTGGGAGCACACTGGTGAGGCCTGGGGGGAAATGAGGAGGCACTGGAGGGCAGTGAGAGGCACCGAGGGGGGAATGGGAGGGGGCTGGAAGTGAAATTGAGTCACTGGGAGGCACTGGGAAGGAGCTGGAGGTGAACTGGGGACACTGGGAGCATACTGGTGGTGGTTGGAGGGAATGAGGAACTAGGAGGCAACAGGTGCGGTGTGGGAGGGAATGGGAAGACACTGGGAGGACGGTGGATAGCACTGGGAGACACTGAGAGAGTACCGAGAGGGAGCTGGAGGTGAACTGGGGACACTGGGAGGCACTTGGAGTGAACTGATGTGGCACAGGAGGGAAGGAGGGGGCACTGGGGGGCACTGGGAGGGCACTGGAGGGCGCTGAGAGGGTATTAGGAGGTGCTGGGAGAGAACTGGAGACACTGGGAGACACTGGTGGGAGATGGCAGGGAATGAGGAGGCACTGGGATGCACTGAGGGGTACTGGGAGGAAATTAGTGGGTGCTGAGGGTACACTGGCAGGGAGCTGGAGGGGAACTGGGGCCACTGGGTGGCCCTGGTAGGGAACTGGGGAGTACCGGAAATCACTGGGGGGGGCCGTAGAGAGAGAATGAGAAAGCATTGGGAAATAACTGGGAGGCACTGGGAGGGCACTAGGAGCCACTGGAAGGCAGTGGGTGGGAAGTGGGAGGCCACTGGGGGCACAGGGAAGGAAAGGAAGCACTGGGAGGGCACTGGGGGGACTCAGGAAGGCTCTAGGAGGCACTGGGGACCCCCGGGAGGGAACTGGGAGGCCCGGGGAGGGCACTGGGAGACACTGGGAGGGCATGGAGGGAGGAGGCGTGGATGGACGCGTGCGTGCGGCAGCGGGGAGAGGGTTGCGGCTGCGTGCACACGCGTGCGCGTGCCGGGCACGCGTGTGTGGGGACACGGGGGTGTTGTTGCAGGTGCAAGGGCACACGCTCGTGGTTGTGGGGGACGAGAACCGGATCGTAGGGGGCCGCAGCTGCCAGAAGAAGCGTCACCCCTACCAGGTGGTCCTCCTGAGTCCCCAGAAGAACATCCACTGTGGTGGGGTCCTCATCGACAAGTTCTGGGTGCTCACGGCCGCCCACTGCGACACCAAGAGGTGGGTCCACCCCGGCATGTCACAGCAGACATTGGGGGGGGAGGGGAGGGCTTGGTTTGAGCCCCGCTTTGGCCACAGGCTCCTACGTGTAGGCATGGATGGGTCCACCAGGAGATGGAGGTGTCAGCCTTCCCCTTTTGCAGCAGCGCTGGGGGGGGCATCGGGAACCAAAACTGAGCCCTAATTGGGCTTTGGGGTCCCATGTCTCCTCCCATGCTTGTCCATCCTATCAGGATTCGTGTCACGTGGCTGGTGACCGTCAAAGCCAGAGGTCCAGGTCACGGTGGTCATCATCGGGTCTTCTCTAGCCAAGGATTCCTACCTGCTCCAGATCCTTCTAGGGCTCTTTTTTTTTTCCCCCCCCATCAGCCATGAAGGGAATCCAGTCAACCAGCTGGGTCTGGGTGGCCAGCTGCTGGGCTGAGAGGAGGCCACCTCTGTGGCCCAATGCAACCATCCAGTTGGGTTCCCAACATAACCATCCAGCTGGGTTGGCCGCCAGACCCATCCAGTTGGGTTGCCAGTATCACCATCTTGCTGGGTTGGCCACCACAAGCATCCAATTAGGTTCCCATAACAACCATCCCATTGGTTTAGCCACCACAGCCATCCATCTGGGCTCCCAACAAAGCCATCTAACTGGGTAGGCCATCACGATCATCCGGTTGGGTTTCCAGCATGACCATTCCATTCGGTTGGCCACCACAACCATTCAGCTGGGTTCCCAACATGACCATCCCATTCGGTTGGCCACCACAACCATTCAGCTGGGTTCCCTGGAGCACAGCCAAGAGCTTCACAAAACCAGCATCTCCCCTCTCTCGAGGTCATGCAGAGACATCCCTCACCTCCATCTTTCTTTTCCAAAGAGCCTAGTGCACTTGCCAAGGAGGAAGGAGATGCTCTTCAGCTTCCAAATGTCCAAGTGGCTGGGGACCATGGTCTGTAGAGAGGAACATGATGACTTCTACACCATCTTGTTGAAGCTAGGTGAAGTCAGGAGCCACCACAGTGGCTCCTGGTGGTTAAGGCTTTCTGCTAGGGAAGGTGGGAAGACCATACTGGGGTGAAAAGTTTGTCAGGGTTAAACCTGCTGGGCAGGATCTCAGCCACCTCCAAGAAGGTGTAGAGATGGATCTCCATCACCTTGCCCCTGTGGCCATGTGGTGCCCACCTTCCAACTGAGGCTGGGCCACGAGCACCACATCAGGACCCACAGTCCCCACTCACCCATGGAGGTCTCCTCCCACACGAGGCGGTTTGAAGTGGCCTGGGGTGGTCATGAAAGGAAATGCGTCCTGAGGGCATCACGAAATGGAGCGTCCTCAGGGCGTGAGGTCAGATCCAGCCTGAAGGCAGAGGCAGGATGTGACCTCCCCAGCCTGGCCATGCAGAAGGCACTTGACAAGGTGGAGCTGGCCTAGCACGACCTGGGCTGACCCCAGATTTTGCGACCAATAACGATTTGGAGGAGCCAGAAGAGAATTTCCCCCCTTTCTCCCCCTTCCCACCAGCAGCCCATCTCTGTGGACTGGGACTTTGGCCACTCACAGGCTCACTGGAGGGGATAAACCAGTTCTGGGAGCCAGTGGCACTGGTGTGACTCACCCAGGGCAGGGGGTGTCCACATGGGAAGACAATAGGAGCCATCAACCCTTGGCCACAGGGGTTCAAGCCATCTCCTCAAAGGAGAAATTTGGACTTCCCCTGATTTTTTGGGTGGGCTGAGCTCTCTCCATCCGAGGGCACAGAGCAGGGAAGCTCCGTGTCAGGGAAGAGGGGAGAAAACCCCTTTGGGGGGGTACCTAGGTGCAAGCAAGGGCCAGGACACCTGGGTCCCTGGGCAGCGGGATGTACGGGTTGGAGCTGGTTCTTCCTCACCGTGCCAAGCCTGGGCTGGACTTGGGAGGACTCGCTTCGCTTCCCCGGCTCTCCGGCTGACCTGCTGGGCAACTTTGGGCTCCAGGCCTCAGTTTCCCCACCTGGTTAAAGGTGCTAATGATAGGAGGGGAAGCCTTTTGCCCTACTTCCCTGGGTGGCCACGTCACCCGTCGGCTCCTCCCAATCTCCACCGCGCAGGCCTTCTCAAGTGGCGTGCTCGTCCCCATTTCCCCTCGCCGCGGCCGTGGCCCGTGCCACGTCCGTCAGAGAGCCTTGGCATCACTCGTCATCTCCCCCACCCCGCCCAGCTCCATCCCCATCCGGATGGGCGACCACAGTCTGAAGAGGAAAGAGGGCACGGAGCAGTGCATCAGCTCGGCCCAGGCTTTCGTCCACCCCAGCTACAACCCCACCAGCCACGACAGCGACATCATGCTCCTGAAGCTCCAGAAACCAGCCCATTTCACCGACTACGTCCAGCCCGTGGCTCTCCCCAAGCACTGCCCCCCTCCCAACACCGAGTGCATTGTGTCAGGCTGGGGCAGCACCAGCAGCCCTGAAGGTAGGTGGCAATGTCCCGTCGCGCTGCGCGGATGGTCCTCAAGGGACCTGGAGACACACCGTGTCTTGAGAGCATCTCAGCCAGGGTCAGGCTGGGCAGACGGTGGCTGGGAAACTGCCAGAACTGCATGGGCCCAAAAGGGGGGGGCTAGGGAGGTCTCACTTCTCCACCCGATCCTCACCACCACCATAGGAGACTCCAAACCACCTCCAATATGGCCATTTGGCCCCTATCTTGAGGGGCATCTTCCATGGTGGGGCATCTCCTCCCACCACGGTCACATCGCCCAGGGAAGGGAGAGGGGCTCACAGCTTTGGTGCCCATTGGGGACCCAAATCCGGAGTGAGGTGTTTGCTAGGGGCCTCTACTGAGTCCCGCTGTCCCCAGGGTACTTCCCCGACATCCTCCAGTGCGGCGTGGTCTACACCATAGCCAACGAGGAGTGCACCAAACTCTACCCCAAGGGCATCACCAAGAACATGCTCTGTGCCGGCGTCAGCAGGGGAGGCACCGACTCCTGTCAGGTAGGGCTGGCGGCGGTGGGGGTGGCTGCGGGGTGGGCT